TCACGTGCGTATATACAAAAGGTACGCTTGCTGTCTATTGCCGGTCAAATACTCACTTGCCAGCTACTATGCGTGGAGGTTAGCATGCGGTTGGTCGAGCCGTTGGGTGAGACATTCACCATGGGGCTGTGCAATCCCACGAGTATTTAGCCCGGGCGTGAACCCCAGCACGCCTCGTGTAACGAACAAAAAGCGTGTTTGGTTTATAGTTGGAATATCCCAACTCTAGGCAATATATATGATACAACTGTCTCAATCTCTGGCTGAAAATTAACCCTCAACTCCGTCACACTAAACTTTAAAACCTTAAAACCCTAAAACTCTAAATCGGTCACACACACTGTTCCAGGTCCTGTCAAGCACAGACAAGAGCACAGCGGTGGCTGGGAATGCTGCGACCATCGTATCGCCTTCTCTATCCGGAGCTCTCTCACGTGCCTTGGCCGAGAGTGTTGGTGACTTACCCCCAGGTATGAGAAGAAGATACATCCTGGTTATACTAAACTTCTTTATGGTTGGCAATTTGATTGGTCGGATTTTAAAATCCATAGATGAGCATGAAACATCGAACTTGATAGCGAGGGATCCTTGACTATATACACAGCGGTCTGATATCTGGCACAAACATCCCACCCCCACCCCTTCTGTGTAGGTATGGCTGGGAGTGTCATCACCAGTGTCACAGAGACCATCGCGCCTGTCTTGGCGACTACGCTTAAGACATTGACAAGCGGATACATGGGAAGTGCATCTGAGAGTGCCGCAGAGACGCCACTCTCTACGCTGTTGTATCAGTTGAAGGTTCTGGGCGTGATTGTGAGCAATATCATCATCGTCGACCATAACCAGGTAAGGAGTAGTATGAATGTTACATCCTAGATGTATCTCTGAATGCTTGTCATATGCAGTTAATTGTCGTGTGCGTTCATTTGAATGATCTTATTCTTATTACGCCCATGTATACGTATGTATAACCATGTCATAGGTATGGGCATATACACGTGATGCACTTGTTCTTCTATATGATATACGGCACATTGCTTGAAATCTGTTAAGCTGGACTTTCATGGAACCA